CACACACACACAGGCAGCAGTATCCCCAAAAATCAACGTCATTCGTAATAGTACATTAGCCGCAAAGCGTAAAGTCATAATCAGCTCTGACACTTTAACGTAATTCATAATCAGCGGCGGAAATTTTGCGTAATCAGAAATCACTAACCCTCCGAAGACACCCCCCCATTTGTTTGTTTTCCTTTAAATGCCCACGATCATGATAATGATCATTTTGACATACTCATTTTCACGTGAAGTGAGTAAAGTGCCTTTTCCAAGGGCACAAGATCGGTGACATGGCAGGACTCGAACCCGGGACCTCTTGGTTCTGCTATTACGCCCCACAGCCCCACACATGGTTCCATTGTGGTGTACCTGTCAGCGGGGCAGGTGTGTGATCTCACGCCGCGGCCGGCAGGACTGTTTGCCGTGTGCGGCCGCCCGTTACACGGTCCTCACCTGGTTAACCAACAGATATGCCGCGGTAAAAAAGGAGAGGGGGTCTCATAGAAACCCGGTTAACCAACAGATAACAGGGACTCGTTTTCTTGTTATTGCAGCAAAACATTTCCTACTTTTCGTCGAAGACATGCCAGGGTGTCCTCAGGGCCTACACAGGCGATAACCTTGGCTCCAGGGCCAACATGCTCTTACATCTTACTACACTCCCCCTGAGGTTACACCCTGAGCAAGAAGTTGGCAATGTTGGCGGCCATATGACGATGTCTGTACGTCATTGAAACACCAGAGCAAATTCTGAAATGCTGCCAGCACTGCAATGGTGTCTGGCAATCTTTCAAGAAACAGGGGGTTTCCGTGCACATGTTGGAGGCAATGAAACAGCTTTCTGTGGCATCGGAACTTCCACGTGTCCCTCATTGTTTCTGGTCGCGGTGTACGCTAGCGCTGGCCAGGACACCTTTCAACCAAGCAGAGGTTCGGGTTTGGGGTTATTTTTGGCGTGGCCCATCGGTGTTTCTTTTTTACACTGGAATTTTTTTCACCCAACCAAAAACAAATCCAGTGCAAAAAAGAATATTAAAAAAAGCCTAAAAAGGCCAAAAATAACCCCAAACCTCTGCTTGTTGAGTAACCTTTCAAAGGATTATTGTTGCCAAATTCCATCGGCATCGCCGCTTCCCGCGTTCTTGTTCTCCTGTTTCTGGTTGAGGGCAAAACGATTTACAGATTAGCACCTTCCGGGGTCCAGTCGTACCGGCCTTAGAAAAAACCGCACGTGAGATCGTCTGGGCCGGCATTTGTTATTCTTTTTCTCCACGCCAGGGAATGAATGAATAATTTTGGGGTCGTGTGGCGTAGCGGTAGCTTCTCCGGGCCGGAACCAAGAGGTCTCGGGTTCGAACCCCTCCTTGTCACCGATCTTGTGAGAAAGCCACTTTACACGACTTTTCTCACTTCACTCAGTGGGTACCTAGCTTTGGTTAGGGACGTCCCTCGGATAGGACGTTAAATGGAGGTCCCGTGTTTGGGGAGAGCCACACCCCACGCACGTTAAAGAACCCACTACACTTACCGAAAAGAGTAGGGGAACTTTCTGTTGTGAGTGGTTCAAAACCTTACAGTTCTATGGCCGCACCTGGGGTCGTATTGAGGTCACCTGAATTAGCTTCGAAATCGCTGCGACACTGGGCCTTGGTGTGAGGCAACGTCTCAATGTCATCCATAATCGACCGGCGGGGCGTAATGAGAACCTACTGGTGATTATCGCCCGGGGGTTATTCCCGAAAACTACCTCCTTCGCACAATAATGACCACTTGTGCGCCCAATGACTCCTGTTATCGTGATAAAAGACAGGAAGTTGTGAGAACTAAAGTGACGTCAGAGGTACGTTTGTTGGCCTTGTCCTAATCTCCAAGCAGATCCTACGGTGGCAAGCTTAAGGCTAATAGTCACTCCTTGGATCTTTAGTCACTCCTTGGCCAATGGATACTGCCCTTCCACCATAGGATCTGCTTGGAGATTAGCCTTGTCTTACTATAGGTGTAAGGCCACTGGCTGTACGTCCCATCCCGGAGGACGTCCCTAATCAAGGGAAGCTAGGAACACATTTTCACCTAGCTTAGTCGATTGAGGAAATAGTCGTTAAGTGCCTTTCCCAAGGGCGCAACGTTGGCCTGCTAGGGATTCGTAGCCTTTACCAGGCTTTGGGAGGCGGCTGGAAAGAGTAGAAATCGGCCAAATAGAGAGAGATAACATGCCGAGGAAGTTCAGGTCCGCTGGAAAGTACAGTTTGCCGCTTCGGGAGCGAAGGGATTCGAACCCAGAACCTTCAGATCCTGAGATAACAGCCCTAACCACCAGCCTTGATGATAATCTCGCATGTTTCCTTCCTGTCCTCTGTCTGCCCCATCGCCTGGTTTCAAAGCCGGAGACGACGCCAAACACAAAACAGGCTTCCTGATGTACCTGATAGTCGCCACGTGTTTACAGGTGCGTGTCCACCTGAGATCAGGTGTGTGGCCACTCCAGGTGAGGTCCCACCTGTAGACTTTAAGGTCATCACCTGTAGACCAGGCTACCCAACTGGCCAGAGGCTACGATTAAGGGTTAGTCTCGGAGCAAAGAGACTCTTTCTACATAACCAAGTCTTGTATTCAGGCGACGTTTCGGTGAACGTCTGTCACCTTCCTCAGGGCAGTGAAAAGTATCTTTACTCAGTGACTTACCAACCTGAAACTATGCACATAGGCTAGTCTCGGAGTTCGCAACTCTTACGTAACCCACTGATCTTATCTTGATTAGATACTTACTGACGACATAATTGCTGTATCCGTATCTTTATAGCTGGTATAGCTACCCTTCGGCGTATGTGTAACACATCAGCTTCGCAGGCACGCGGCGCGGCGGCAGCTGGCTACATTGCACCGATCGACTTGTTACACCTAACCCTTGAGCATCCAACTCTAAACATTGTTTAAAGCTATCTAATAATGATAATTCCCCTACTGTACTTGGTGAAAGCGAGCTGTAGCCCTTGTTCTGAATGCCTTACACGTATATATAGGGATCGCGCTGTGGTTGAGTAAACCTCCGGCATGTTCCACATAAGTCCCGCGCGCTCGGGTGAGACGCTCCGATCGTAATCTGCTCCTCAAACGGCGGTTACTCTCAGGATCGTGTTCCCGACATTTCCGCACGGCTACCTGCTTAGTACCTCGTGCCTAGCCTCTACCAGGCTTCGGGAGGTGGCTGGACTAGCCTCTACCAGGCTTCGGGAGGCGGCTGGACTAGCCTCTACCAGGCTTCGGGAGGCGGCTGGACTAGCCTCTACCAGGCTTCGGGAGGCGGCTGGACTAGCCTCTACCAGGCTTCGGGAGGCGGCTGGACTAGCCTCTACCAGGCTTCGGGAGGCGACTGGACTAGCCTCTGCCAGGCTTCGGGAGGCGGCTGGACTAGCCTCTACCAGGCTTCGGGAGGCGGCTGGACTAGCCTCTACCAGGCTTCGGGAGGCGGCTGGAAAGAGTAGAAATTGGCCTACTAGAGAGAAATAACATCTCTCTGGCGGATGGATAATGCCTGGTCAATTTGACACTGTCTTTTGCCACCCTAGGATCTGCTTGGAGATTAGTAGCTACTCTAAGGATCGTCATATCCTAACCATTCCCTACAGTCTTTACTTGTTTTTTGCCTGAAGTCAAGGATCAAAACTAATACCATATGTCTTAAAAAGTGTCGGTCATGGGCTAACCATATACGTGTTTGAAAAAAAAATGTCGATTTAAACATTGTATGCAGTCTAGGCCACTCTGAATTTCCCGATAGCAGAGATGACGTCAGCATAAGCCATAACAAACAAAAGAAAGTGTCCTCCGCATGTGGTTTGCTCCATGCGGGCTGTCAGCGACTGATTTCACTATTGTGCATCAACCTTCCGGGGTCAGACACATTTCAATAGAAAGCCGTGATAGACTGAGAGATATCAAACCAAACCAAACTTTGCCGGCATGTAGCCCCATACCCAATACCCCCGGATTTTCCTTGACACGTGCACACTAGCCTAGTCCCAGCCATTTGCCTGTGGTTGCTTATTGTTGGAGCTAATGATGGCTAGTTTAACCAACGCAGTGTCAGTGTTATCAGTGTAACCACACAGATCAACCCCAACCCCCTCCCGAGGTTTTCCTTGACTTGTGTACATTGGCCTAGTTCCAGCCACCTACCTGTAGCCATCAGACCAAGCACAGATCAACCACTACCACCCACCCTACCCCCTGGGGTTTTCCCTGACTTGTGCACCCTAGCCTAGTCGTAGGCACGTACCTGCGGTCCGTCCCCATCGGCGTTCAAGTTTATTATGTAGTAACTACACAGACTAACTCCCTATCTCCCCAAGGGTTTTCTTGACAGGTGCACCCTAGCCTAGTCGCAGACACCTACCTGCGGGCCGTCCCTGCCCTACCCCCCTGTGTTCTCTAGCCTAGTAGCAGGCACCTACCTGCGGCCCGTCCCTGCCTACCCCCCTGTGTTCTCTAGCCTAGTAGCAGGCACCTACCTGCGGCCCGTCCCTGTCTTCCCCCTTGTGTTCTCTAGCCTATAGCCTACTCGCAGCCACCTACCTGCGACCCGTCCCTGCCTAGCCTAGTAGCAGACGTCTTGCCCCACCCCACCCCCGTGTTTATAGCCTAGTCCCAGCCACTTACCTGCGGGCCGTCCCTGTCTGCGTTGACGATGACGAGCTTGACGACGTGCAGGTGGATGTCGCTGTGCAGGCTGGGGTGCCGGTAGATGCGCGCCGCCATCGCCATCAGCGTCAGCACGTAGTGCGTCAGGTGCCGCCCGTGGAACGACACCATCCGCCGGTCGGCCGTTACCATGGTTTCCACGTGCAGCGGGCGGGAGGAGTACCGCTTCCTCCTCCTCCTCCGCCCGGAACCTTCCTCATCCTCGTCGCCATGGAGACGGGTGTTGTCATGGAGACGGGCGTCGCCATGGAGACGGGTGTTGTCATGGTGACGGGCGTCGCCATGATGGGTGTCACTATGGAGATGAGCGTCGCCATGGAGACGGGTGTTGTCATGTTGACGGGCGTCGCCATGGGAGACGGACGCCGGGGATGCCGCGGTCGCGCCGCGACGTTTAGTCCTGTCCTTCACGCCGCATCGTACCGTCGGCGGCGGGGAGGCGTCCGCGCTGCGTCGTCGGCGGCGCTGCACCGCGTGTTCCCCGCTCCCGGGGTCCGCAGCCTGCCCGCCCGGTGCCGGCTGGATGAAGTACTCCGCGCCGCGCGTGTAGAACATGCCGTGCAGCCCGCCGCACACGCTCAGCACGGCCGCCGACTGCGGGTCAGAGTTCACCTGCCCGCTGTAGAAGCAGTGCCGTAAGTCCGTGGGCTCGGAACCGGCGTCTCCTTCCCCGGGCTGTCCCACGTGCTGCACAACAAACCCCGGCGACAGGAAGGTGGAATCCCGGGTCAAGTTTAGCAAGAACGTTCTCCCGAAGGCGCTGAGCCGGTACGCGACAGATCCCCAACTATCCGCACCTGTCCCGTCCCCGGCCAGGCTCCGCTTGCGGAAGTGTCTGCAGCCGGCCCGCCCGTCCAGCCGGACCACCACCGCGGCGCCCTGCTCCAGCTCCTCGGCGGCACGCGCCCGGCCCGCCCGTACACCGTCCTCCAGGCCCCCGGTCCCGGCCCGGCCCGCAGCGATATTATTGCACAACGCGACCAACAGCACCACTCCAAGTCCACACAGCACACACGCACCCTGAGCCCACCCCATCTTAGCATCCCCGGGCCTGCCTACTTCCTTACAAGTAACTTACAAGACGTCTTAACTAGCACCTTATCTCAGTAGGGCGGAGAGAAGAACTGCGGCCTTATCTGTGCGAGCGCCTTATATACCCAAGGCAGGCGGGCAGATCGGGAGGTAAACACGGCCATTAATCGCGCGGCTCGCCACCGGCCGTTGGACGCTCTGTTTGCCCCCGAAGCTTGACGTCCTTCCGGGCCGCCGCGACAATATCTCACGCCCGCTGCGAAAGGTGTGCTGTCCCGCCGGACATATACACCCCCCGCGCCGACTTGGACTCGTCCCGTGGCTATATCTGATCTGGACGGAACCACCGCGCACGGGGGGAGGAAGCCCTGACGGTGTAACCCTTGTCCTGACTACCTGTACTGTAACCTTACCCCTGGTACATGCTACACACAGATACCTGTTACGGACGAAACCAACGGTCCCGGGGGAGGGACAGGTGTACGTTTTCAAACTACGGTCCATGTAAAGACGTAAGCACGTGTCCTTCAGCATCATTCTTGGTGGAGTTCTGCTTAGCTGGTATTACTTAAGTTTAAGAAAATGATTGTTCGAAAGGAACTGAGCAAGAATGTCTTCATGTCTCTTAAATCATGAGAATTGTTGACCTTAAGGTAAATAAGTTACTTGTGTGAGACTAAAACGCACAGAGATTTGGAGCTAAGCTAAAACATACCTATTGCCTTCCAGTGGTAGCGTCCACGTCACAGTTGTTCTTGGGCTGTACCACTCCACGGAGGGGTGAGCAGCATGTCGCTATCCTGGCGCCTGCGGTTGTCAATACCGTCTGGGTCAGACCTCTGACGTCACGACAGTTATAAATAATAACGACCCACAATTCAACAATAAGAACCCGGCCTTTGATCTGCCGCCGTTTCGAACGAACCGGAAGTCCTTATTATTAAAAAGATATCATTTCCTAAGACACTAACAAGGATATGTCTTATCTTAATTGCTTCGCCTTCGACGAAGGAAGTTGTGGAAACCTGTTTTCTTGGGAGAGGAAAACACTTTAAGTTTGCCCAAACTTGTTCAGGACGTTTGCTTAAACGTGTTGAGATGTTGTGACCACATAGCTCCTGCGTGCTTACATGTACACCGGCTTATCTCCCATCTGTAACACATGCTGAGTGTAAACATTTTAGCAAACGCTACTTGCAAGACAAAACTCTGCTACTTGCCAATATTTTCAAGGACGGTTTCCGAGACTTCTTGTATGTAAGTCCGGCTTCAGCTTGCGTGAAAACACGAGAAGCGTAAACAGTTTTACCAAAATGTACATTTTCCAAGGAGCAGCACTCCGCCTCTGTCTAAACACTCCAAGACAATTTCCTAAAGTCCTTATCAAGACAAGCAACAGATTGCACCAAGAGTTACGCACCAGTGTACTGCTAGCCTCTACCAGGCCTCAGAAGCGGCTGGAAGGAGTAGAAATTGGCCAGATAGAGAGATAACATGTAGTGGGTGCCCCCAACTGTACTCCTTTAGTGGACCACCTCCCCCTGCATGTTATCTCTCTATTTGGCCGGATTATACTCTTTCCAACCGCCTCCCGAAGCCTGGTAGAGGCTACTACTTGTGTACTGCTTGCAACAGT